TGGGGTGCTGGGGGGCAGGAAGGAGATTTGGGGTGCTGGGAGGCAGGAAGGAGATTTGGGATGCTGGGAGGCAGGAAGGAGATTTGGGATGCTGGGGAAGGAAGGGGATTTGGGGTCCCGGGAGGCATGAGGAAGGAAGGAGTTTGCTTCCTGAGGTCCCTGGGTCCTGGGGTGGAGGCGAGAACCGCCTGCTCCTTTGGTTCAGTAACGAATCGGGGGTGTTGCCAGGGCCCCACACGCTGCAGGTGGCCCTGGGCTGCGCGGTGGGGGCGGACAACAGCACCAGTGGCTTCTGGAAATACGGCTACGACGGCGAGGACCACCTCGAGTTCCGCCCCGAGACGCTGAGCTGGAGAGCCGCGGAGCCCGGGGCCTGGGCCACCAAGATGGAGTGGGAAGAGAACGCGATCCGGGCCCGGCAGAACCGGGCCTACCTGGAGAGTGATTTATTTAATATTTTTATTGATTTCAGAGAGGAAGGGAGAGGGAGAGAGAGAAACATCAATGATGAGAATCATTGATCATCTGCCTCCTGCGCGCCTCCTACTGGGGATCCAGCCTGCAACTTGAGCATGTGCCCTGATGGGGAATTGAACCATGACCTCCTGGTTCATAGGTCGATGCTCAACCACTGAGCCACCCGGGGATATTTCCCTCGCTTTTTTAGAGAGAGGAAGGGAGGGAGGAGAGGAGAGAGAGAGAAGAGAGGGATGGATTGGTTGTCTTCTCCTACTGGGGCTGGGATCAAACCTGTAGCCCAGGTCCGTGCCCTGGACTGGAAATCAACCCGCAGCCTTTGGCTCCTGAGCCGCCGCTCTGACCACAGACCCACCCCAGCCGGGCAGGCTCCGCCGACTCCGTGGGACCGTCACTCGGCCATGAGTCCTGGCTGTCATTCCGGGTTCACCTTGCATGTAGCCAGCGATGTGTCTGCTCTCGATTTAACCAAGAACCCTGGGCCTGCGAGCATGTGTGCCCTTTAGGATCAGAAACGTCAAATATCACAGGAAAACCAAAGAAACAAGAAATTACCCGGGGGAGGGGGGGGGGCGAGGAAGCAGCCAGTCAGAGTGGCCGCAGCCTTGAGGCCACATGAAGGTTCTCCAGAGCGTGGCCATGGGCCCTGCCGGCCATTGTCTAATAATTACACATATTGAAAGGAAAGAATACTCGCTGGGTTGAGCCCGGTGAGATTGCCGACAGGCGCATTCAATCATTTTCATGCACGTGAAGGTGGCTTTACCGGATTCAACCTAATAGGCTAACAAGCGGAAGACGGGCCCACGGGTGCGCATCTGACAGGAGGGACAGGACCCCAGGCTGAGGGGCATGACTCCTCCCGGGACACGCCTCGGAGAGCATCTTGGAACATTTTTTTTTTTTTAAATCCTCACCCGAGCCCTAACCAGTTTGGCTCAGTGGATAGAGCCTCGGCCTGCGGACTGAAGGGTCCCAGGTTCGATTCCGGTCAAGGGCACGTACCTTGGTTGCGGGCACATCCCCAGTAGGGGGTGTGTAAGAGGCAGCTGATCGATGTTTCTAACTCTCTATCCCTCTCCCTTCCTCTCTGTAAAAAAATCAATAAAAAATTTAAAAAAAATCCTTACCTGAGGATATTTTTCCATTGATTTTTAGGGAGAGTGGAAGAGAGAGGGAGAGACAGAGAGAAACATTGATGTGAGAGAGACACATTGATGGGTTGCCTCGTACACCCGCCCCAACCAGGGCCGGGGCCTGGGCAACCACAGTATGTGCCCTTGACCAGAATCGAACCCGGGACCCTTTGGTCCGCAGGGCGATGCTCTACCCACTGAGCACACCGGCCAGGGCTTGGCACGTTGGTGGGACACACGTGGGTGTCTGCAGCGGGGCCTGTGCAGGGTGTCCTTCCTCCCACACGGAGCAGAAGGGAAGTGAAAGTCGGGGTGCTCCTGGGGAGGGTGGCGGGATCCCCTCCCCACACGCTCCTTCTTCCCCCCAGTGCCCCCCTCGGTGCGGGTGACGCGCCGTGTGGCCTCGGCAGCGACCACTCTGCGGTGTCAGGCTCTGAGCTTCTACCCCCCCGACGTCACCATGACGTGGCTGAAGGACCGGCAGCCCCTGGACGCCAAGGATGCGGAGCCCAGGGACCTGCTGCCCAACGGGGACGGGACCTACCAGGCCCGGGTGGCCCTGGCCGTGCCCTCCGGGGAGGAGCGGAGATATGCCTGCCAGGTGCAGCACCCCGGCCTGGAGCAACCCCTCGCTGCCGCCTGGGGTACGGACCAGCCCGGGCGAGGACACCCATCGAGAATGGGACAGAGGGTCCACATGGCAGGAGGGGGTGCCCTGGGAGGGGCGGGGTGCCCTGGGCGGGAGGGGG